GTGGTGCAGTGAAAGAATACATACACGCAGTCAAAGCGCAAAGGTGACACCAGCACACCAACCGCGCCGCCGGTTCAATCGACACGGTAAGTAAAACAGCGGAGCGTGAACGGAGAGGCGCACAGAAAAAGAAAGTGCAAGTCAAGCATATAGAACTCTTTGCAAACGGGGCCTCACGTGACACCCCGCATTGCTGAAATTGCACTCCACCAAACGACAAATAGCCGAGCGTAATCCGATGGCTTCGGGCGGCAAATACAATGACAACGGCGTGACTGTCGCTTTGCTTTACTCTGTAGGCGTGCCATGCGAACCTCGCTAAGCTGCCTCTGCTGCTGCTTTCCATTGAGGATTACAGCAAATTAGCCATCTGCATCATTTTACCGCTTGAGCCAGGACGCACGCGCGCGCACACACGCACGTACGCTCAAAGCTATCATATGGTCTGAAAACATTTCAAGTCATCTCCTCATGGATTTGAAGATTCATCAAGCTGAGATAAAATATGCTCTCTAAATAGTTTGTATTGTTATAATGCGTGCACACCTGCCACGGGGAGGGAAAGCTCCAGCGCTAATGTGATTGTTGGAACCTCTGGAGCAAGCATGTGCCTGCATTTTAGTGTCATGTAATAACAGTGACAATAACCAGCTGGCATGAACTCTGGAGGGTGTTAGGACGGAAGGAAAGACTGCCATTTTGGGTGCAGAACCAGTTAAAGAATTCAGTGCTAGGACTAACACCCACCACCTAATACGAGAATAGCAGACCAAACACCTTTGGAGAGAAGATTAAAATTTAGGAATTTATCAGGGCAAATATTGTTTGTCTGTACTCAGACAGACACACCAATATACATATACATATACATATACATACACACACACATACTAGGGCTGCCACAAATGATTATTTTGCTGGTTGACTAATCACCAGCAGTAATCGTGATTAGTCGACTAATAGGATCATATCGTCAGCCTCCTAAAATAATTGCCCAAGTCTGTTGTTTTAGGAAAAACAAAAAAATAAGCCGCATTCTGATATGTATTAATCATTTCAGGGGTATACGCGATCTGTTAAAGTACAGATGTAGCTGATTGTGGCAATTTCCAATTAACATTTTAAACTCAAACATGCATACGCACGCGCGCACACACACGATACATAAGGGCTACCAACAATCAAAAGGAGACAAAACATTTGGATCAATGAGCCTGAACATCAGTGACGACGTTCAGTTAACATTTAGGTTCAGGTCAAAATAAACGAGTTCTTAAACACTCATGTGTGAGCAGATATTAACATGTATACAGAAGTAACTTGCAAACAATTGGGATATCCTAATTTGAACCGTGACATATAACGTCAGGACGCAAGGAGACATCATTTCCGCTTCTTACTTTTTACCGTCAATAAACACAATTTATTTATGCCACTCACTAAAGCAATAAAGCAGCTGCTTTTCCTCCTTGCTCTGTCTAAGCAGCACCATATTTTTTTTTTACCTCTGCTTGTGTATTTCCGGCAAGTTGCATGCCAGAGGCACGGACTTACATACACGTATTTGCATGTAGATATACACACAGTGTCATTTTCACAGAGACAAATAATAACGTGAAAACACCACGTAAAAATCTAGGTATTCAAGTTATCGGGTGGCAACATAAGATGGCCACCGGCGCCTTCACTTCTCGCTGCGGCAAGTTAGCGGGGATCGCCGCAGTTACAATTGCTTCCTGTATTCAAAAGTCCAAGTTTCCTTGCAGGGAGAGCAAGGACAAAACACAAACTATCTACAATTGCTTTGAAATTACCAAATAATTTTTTTTTGTTTTAATACGAGGGTATATTTGGGTTTTTGTGCAAGTTTATATGGCCTTTCAAAGCTCATATATCGCCAATATTCGGCTTCTGAAAGTGTTACTGATTGCATGTAAACGTACTCATTGTTTAACCAACACTAATTGTAGAGTTCATAATTAGAAATATGACAACGGAAGGCTGCTTTTAAGATTTGGGTTCAGAATTCCCATTAGCCAGCGCCCTCGTGCATGTGCTCAGATCAAGAAAAGGGATGTTTCTCGGCGGAATAAAATGAGGCAGGCTCTGTTGTGGGCGCAGGGTTGAACAGCCTGACATCTGTGGCAGAGAGCACCGTCTCCGGGCAGAGGAGCAGCTTCAGTCACAGGCTGCTGTCACTGCCCTGCTCCAACCTTCTTCCCCATTCCAAGAGGATTTTTAATTCCGCTTTGTGAGGGAAACCCTCATATCACATTTTCTCAACTCTACTGTCGTCATTTTGCAAGATGATCACAATGCAGTTTCAGATTGCACTGGAATTATAAACTCTGTTATCCACACTTAAAAAAAAAAAACAGACTTGTTGCTTGATACTTTTTATATTTTACAATTGATGAGTAATTCGGTAAAACTGACTGCCGTGAGTTTGCAATGTTCCATTTTAGTTCTTTAACTCGAGTTTTGAAGGTGCATTTGAAATGTCACATTCATTTTAATTAATAATAATGAAAGTTATTCGGTTTTACTCTAATTTGAAGGCATTTTGACCATTTTTTAACGGGATGTCTCAAAAACATTTCTGAAAAGGCAATTTTCCCCCAACACACACACAAAAATTGTTTAGGACTTTTCATTTGATTTTCACAATTCTGTTAAAGCTGCCATCCAAACAGAGATTCTACGTTTTGAAAGACTCATTTTTAGCAAGATTTGCCACAGTGCTAAATTAAGAATCTATCGCCACAGTTTATTATTCCTGTTTTGGTTATTTGATGGTGGTTGTCCCTCACTGGCTTATATGTGCAAATATTTGAAATAGAAGTCTTTGAGTGTAAAAACCCTGCAATAAGAATGGGTGATGGCAACTTCGTGTTCAACTTCCCCAATCGGGGCAAATGGTGTTCAGCATGTGCATGAACTCATCCTGCCCACGGTCGTTAACTATCTCGCAATCGGGAACACTGTGTCACTTTGGACGTAGGCTGCAAGTGGACCTTGTTTCAGGTTAACCGTCTCCTCGAGTAACCCGAATAAAGTTCAGAGTTGCGATGCGTCCGCTTTACCAAGTCACACCTCCCCCTCAACTTCCACAGCGATGACACCCAATGCATGAGTCCATTACCATAAATATAAAACAGAATGTGCAGCATATACAATCACGAAGGCCAGTTGAACTGTCGCAATTCGCGCTAACGAGCTATGGGGATATTGAACATTTTAAATACTTTAACACTTGAAACATGTTCGACCTTCACCACCTGTGCAAAGCTGCTAGCTGGCTACCAGATAAGAATGTCTTGTTCTAAAGCAACAAGAAATTACCAAACCATCTCGAAAATGCTTTCATTTGCGGCACAGTTTACTGCAAATATGCAGTAGGAAGCAGTGGTCGATACATGCGCTCGGGGAAGGCCCCTAGCTAGCCAGAGCAGGTGGGCCATGCAAACACGCAGCACTTTTCGGTGTCACTTGACTCTTCGGTATCAACAGCAGACACTCACGCAGCATCGTCGTTCAAAGTGCCACGGTGGGTGGGCAAAGAGTCGTTCAAGTCATTCCCAGTCATTGGAAAATCCGCATAAGCCCCTTCGACGAAAGGAACGTGGGGCCTGTTAGCTTACCATGCTTGCTGGTGCTGTTGCAATGAGGCTTAGTGGGGGCATTAGCAAGCACTTTTTGACATCACATTTCCAAAGACAACAGGAGCCAAGTCTTTCATTTATATCGACATATCCGTGCAGCCGACTTGTAGCTTTGACACGACTCTAGTGCAAATAAAATTGTTTGTCGAACGTTTACGCGGCTGCGAGGTCTAAAAGTAACGTTAGCTCGCTAACTACCTGGTTGCCGTAAGAAGCCATGCTCCCGGTGAGATTTGCTCTCCTCATCGGACAAGACGAAAACTCTCCCGGGGAGACGTTGGAGGAGCTCTGCAGTGGCCGCCTCGACGGGTGTCCTACTTCGACGCCGATGTCATTTTCCCAGCAGTTAGATGTGTCCGATCCACGTAAAAGGCGTTTAGCAACCTCATGCCGTAGGACTCGCCGTCACCGCCATTTCTGTGTAGCGTCTTCTTCGCTTGCTTGGCGGCTCAGGGAGATTTGTCATGCAGCGGGAGCCGAACGAATAACCGCACATACTTCCGTTGGCTTGGGCCTTCGAAATAAAAGCTATGACACCTAATCTAACTAACCCTGTAAAGATGTAGACGAGAAAAAAACAGGCAAAACTTCACAAAAAGTAAGAAAGCTGAAATACAGTAATCCTCCCTCCACCGCTGGGGTAACGTTGCAGAACAACACCACAACCAGTGAAATCCGCAATATGGAAATAGCCTCTTTTTTAATTAAATACTCCCAAAGCATAATTTTAAACGCACTATTGAAATAGAAACATGTGTAAACACTTATAATATTGTGAGAGAGAGCAAGGGCAATGAACACAAACATGTACAAACAGCGTAACAGATCCCTCTCTGTTTGCAAAAAAAAAAAAAAAATCCAAACGAACAAACTTATCACCTCATAATAATGCCCCAAAGACAAACGCTCTGAAATGAATCTGCAGTCGTCTTTTTCTGAAAGAATAGTTATTAAGATTGTATTATTGTCAATGTTTTATGTCATGCATTCTGTTAAATTTTTGTTATTTTATGTTAAATGTTCTGGAAACCGCATTATTAGATCTGCAGCGGTTCTGAAAGCGCGATATAAATAATGCAAATCTCCACATAGCATCATTGTCAGTGTTAAAACTCTTTATGTAACAGATATTTGAACACAAACACAACAGAGCCATAATCAGATCACTGGTGCTTAAATTGTTCCCCAAATCAGAAACATATTTTATACCATAATTATTATCGTTTTATGAATGTATTTTGAAATTGACTTACTTCAATTGGGTTTGCGACTCGGAAGCGGAAGCACTAAAGTAACTGGAGTGTCATGTAACCGCGAATTTACCTAAAGTCTTGACCATGTGCGCCGTACTTGATGCGAGTTACCTACGCTTAATGTCGGCCATTTAATGATCACAAGTGTCTTGTTCGTAAATGTATATATATTTATTTATTTTTTGCAATTTTGTGACAGGACTGTTTCGAGAGTGAGTGACCGACAGGTGCCTTTGCCTCAATTTTCAAACCGCTCGTGAAGGCAGTAGATTTTAAGTATTTCAATTTTAAGCATCCACAAAGCCTCCTTGATACTTAAGTACAACACAAACTGGGGAACAACAAAGTTTTATTTATGTATTTATTTATTTTTATGTGTGCTTACAAATATAGTTGGGAGATCGAGATCCAGTGGGCGTGGTGCACCACAGGTGAGCGTACCACTCCGGAAGTAAGGACGCTTAAGGTGTTGTTTTTGTTTCGCATAAACGAAAAAGGATACCGCCCAAAACGTATTTTGTACACAAAAGAAGGTAGGAGACGTTTACACTGAGCTTTATGTTACATAAAGGGACACTAATCTGACTCGCTTAGAATCAGGGAAAGTCACGAACGTAACAATGCTCCCAACCTGAAATAATTTATTAGACTTAGTGCTTATAGACAGTTTGTGCAACTTTCTACATTTCTTGAATTCGTACACAATTACCACTTCCTGGACAGTGTTGCGTACACCTGTACAATTCAAAGAGACCCTAAAACAAGAGCAAATGCAGGCTTTCCAAATGCAATCCTGCTTATTTTTTGGGATGGAAAGCTGCATGATTTTCGATTCCATATTTTTTATATCCAGCTTAAGGTTGCACTGCTACGCTCTTTGTCCTCACTAGTAAGACAATTCAGTGGACTTGTGGAACGACTGTCTCATTTATAGTTTTGTTCCACTGCTATCTTCCAATACTGTACGACATTTATGCGCACAAATAAGATTTTGTATACAAGTAGTACAGCTACATGCTACCAGCGAGACAAACCCGTGCCCAAGCATGCTGCTGTTATTTCTAATGATGTTATCCTGTAGAATTTTATAATATCAATCGTATAACACAGTGGTCCCCAAACTACGGCCCGCGGGCCGGATCCGGCCCGCCTCCGCATTTGGTCCGGCCCCCTGAAAATACCACAGAGTATTTTGATTTATTTTTCATCGATGTGGATTTGTCTTTGATCATAAAGTTGGGCTTTTGCAATAAAATGTTCCTTAGTTCTGAACCGTTTTCATTATTAACTATTAATTAGTAACTATTTCATAAACACAGATACAATAAGGTGACATTTGGTGCATCTTTCTGTGCCGTTATCTGGCAACGCCAGAAAAAAAAAAATCCGAAACCGGCCCCTCTCTCAGAGAACGGGATCATGGCGAAAAGGTTCGGTAAGAGAAAAATAGAATGCGGGGTATTTAACCCAAAGTGGA